CAGCGTGAGAGTGTGAGTGATGACATGATTAGAAGATGCATCCCACGAACGGATCAGGCTGCATTCCTCTTGTCCAGACGTCTTTTAAGCCGACTCGACAATCCTGTCTTTTGCTGTCCACGAGGCGATCTCCACAGAACATACCAAAATTGTGGGGAAATTCAACTTGGAACAAACTTGAATAAGAAAATAGTCAATGTAGGACTGACAATTGAGACTTCCCAGATTATAATCAACTTCCACATAACATTACCACCCAGTCAGGATACTACCAAAATATATGAATGCGAAAAGACTATAAAAAACAATAAATAAGTTTATGAGTTTTCCACGATCGCCCCCCAGACTCAAATGACATTTGCCCACAGGTCAGAAGTAACCAACACGAAAGGTCACGCCTCTCGAAAATGATATTTTAATTATGGCACTGCCCACAAGATCAGCTTATATCCTCCATTACGCTCGAGAGCGCTAGCCATATTTGGGAAATAGTACTAATCAGTATTAGTCATTAGTACTGAATTAGCGTCAATCTCTAAATGAGTTCTTTTCACACAACTTTGACAGAAATGCCAATATGCATATTGAAGTCGTCGAGATTGAATTGAAATGTTGTCAACATGATCAGAAAATGTAGAGGACAGACAAAAAAGGAGTCATGACAATTAATTGGTAGAGTCAGTTGCTTACAATAATTGGCAAAGGCTATGGACGATTTTAAAAGGTACCGGATTTTGGCAGGAGACCTCAAATAGGCACCAACTGGCCAAAAGCACAAGCACATTGAAATGGGAAAAATTTGTGAAAAGCATTTAAAAAGCATTTGAGTATCAACTGAGTATCAACTCACAAATGCTAGTGCAACTTCAGTGATGGCATATTTTGTAGAAAGTGTTGGCTTGATCTCGCTGGTCCAATTGGGTCATGTTGTCATGCCGAACTTTCGATGTGCACCCACCCTCTGCATTCTGGGGAAGATGGGAAAATGGGCACAGCGAGTCGGCCTGGGACTGGAGGGAGAGAAAAGCTTCCCGCGGAAAATTGTCGGGACTCGAGCCAATGAGAGTGAAACGATTAGAGGCGGAAATAATGCGAAGTCGCCTTAGCAACATGTCCAAGTTGCAAGACAACACCAACCTCATAATGCCACAAAGATTGTATCTTTGCTTAAAAAGGCTTGCCAACGAAAGATTAGAGCAAACTGAAAGATAAGTTAAAATATTTTCAATATTACCTCATAAACCCAAACGCAAATGAAACACTATTGAGCCATTTAACGATGCAAAGAAACAACAGATTACTGATTCCACCATCTTCCTAAATTAACTAAGTTAACGTTAATCTTATCCATTTGTGGCTTGCGTCT